TTCAGATGATTAAAGAAACTGAAGACCAGGTAGAGGAGCTTGACAGGTTCAAGGGGCAAATTCTGGTTGGGTGACACGGAGAGAATGTATTTTTAGCGTATAACTGAAGTGGGTTCTTGGGAAGTAGGCATCCCAAGAGCCCAAAGATAAAGAATCACAGAGAGGATAAAGAATGGATGGATTTGTTGAGGAGATCAAAGCAATAGAGACATGGCTTTGTGCACTTTCCCCTCCCAAAAGATAAGTCAAAGCACAATTTGCACTAGACACTCATACTGTCAAAATGCATGAACCCTAGCATCCACTTACCAAGTGTTAAAAACAAGGTGTGAAAATGAGCTGCTTAATCTGGAGATCTGATAACTGAGCAACCTTAGAAACAGAAGGAAAACAGATCAAGACAAGCCTGTAAATGTCAGGAAGAGGAGGCAAGGTAATGGAAGCAACAGCAACTAGAACGGGATAGGTATGGGCACGCATACAGACTGGCGGGAAGCATTCAGAGGCGCACAAACAGGTCTAAAGAGGAAGAGAAAATGAAGAGGAGGAGCTAGAGAGGTTTAGGAAAAACTGAAGGAGAGTGAGAAAGGCTTCCTCAGCTTGGAAAAGGTTAATAGAAGACTTGTACACGGCTGAGAAAACGGTAGCAATAATCTTACTTCTAGAAGGCAACCTGCCAAGAACACAAACTTCAAGCACTTGCCGCAGTCAGCACAGAGAAAGAACTCCAGATCTTCAGACTGACTTCTCCCATTGTGTTTTCCCTTTTCCCAGTCTTTCCACATCCCTGAGATTAGCTGAGACTCTTCTCTCTTTAGGTATGTCTACACAGACTGGAATAAAACTTCAGATAGGCACAGCATAATCCAAGACACCCTCAATTATGTCAGGGCCTACTTGGTTTCTTACAGCTTCATGACCAGAGAGATGCCAGAGGAAAGAAAGATTTTACTCATTACCTTGGCATCTTAGATGAGAGGACCATTAAACAGAACAAGAGAAATTTGGAGAGTGTAGTTAGTTCCTAAATATCTATCTATTATAGGCAAAAAAGGCAAAATGGAGTTTTTGGAAAACCTCTTTCATGCATACCACATCCCTCTTATGTGTTTCCTTGCACTAAGTATGAACCTGCCCCTTTCCAAGGACTTCCTTCCTATTGGGATGACAGTATGCAAGAACACACTAGTTCAATGATCATCACCATATTAAGCAAAACAAAGCAAAAACCCATGGAACCATGATTTTACTTCCAGAAACTCCAAGTTCCTTTTTATGCTAGTACAACCAGAGTGCAAACTTACAGAAAAATAGACAGTCAAGTGGGTCAGACTTCAGCGCTCTTTAAACCTGCTATACTGGTTTACAGCTGAGGCCTCTATAGAGAATAAAGGTTCAAACCTCTCTCTGCCCATCAGAATCGCACCCACCATCTTCTGTCTCTTGCCTAGTAAGCATATCTCTGCAGCTTCCTCCTAGAGTTGCAATGATAAAGCAGCTATGGGAGTGGTCCATCGTGTGCCTGCCTAAGGGAGGGGCTTCTTTTGGTCAGCACATTTTCACGTGTTCTTTCCTCACACTCCAAGGAAAGACGATGGTGGAACACACCAGCATAAAGGAAACACAAAAGTAAATAAACATCACCAGAGTCCAAAGTCACCAAAGTGCAGGTGCAAAACCTGAAGCAATCCCATCTCTGCCGGCCTGGACTTGCCACAAACCCCAGAGGAGGTCAGTCTTTTCATTTTTCTTGATTCAGGAACAAATCAGCAGGGAGGACAAGGTCTTGCAGACAAAAAAATAATCAAAGCTGAAATAAGAACAACACATTTCGTTGGTAACATTCACCTTTTTCAGAGAAATATTGTTGTTGTGCTTTTGAAAGTGAGGTTCAGGAGAACTGCCTGAATTAAACTCATCCAACACAAAACAGCAGGTAATTGACATGCATGAGTCACATTAGTAAACAGTAAAGTCAATTGGAAAGTCAAGACATGCCAGGCAGTGATGGTGCTCGCCTTTAACCCTAGTACTTGGAAGGCAGAGGCAGGCAGATCTCTGTGAGTTTGAGGCCAGCCTGGGCTACCGAGTGAGTTTCAGGACAGCCAGGGCTACACAGAGAAACCCTGTCTTGAAAAACAAAAACAAAAAAATCAAGACATTTAGCTAATGCGGTGACTCATATCTGTAATCCCAGCACTCAAGAGGCTGAGACAGAAGAATTATGATTTTTGAAACCAACATAGATTACATCATGAGTCTTGAGCTACAGTGAGAGACTGTCTCAAAAAACAAACAAAGTAAGTGAATAGGTGATCGGAGAGAACTCACTGCTGGAAAGATAGTTGAGCCGTTACGAGCACATGTTGCTCTTGCAAAGGAGTGGGGTTTGCTTTCCAGCACCCACACAATAGTCACAACTACCCTTAACTCCAGTTCCAGGTGATCCAATGACCTCTTCTAAATTCTATTGGTACCAAGCACACAAGTGGTACACATACACACATGCAGGCAAAATAGTAGAGGGGGTTAAGACGGGGTAATGGGGTAGTAGTAAATATCAACTACACACACACACACAGACATAGAGACACACATATAGAGATGCACACACAGACATAGAGACATACAGAGACAGACACACACACAGACATAGCGACACAGACACACACACAGAGACACAGACACACATGAAAATATGTAGTGAAACTGTGTAATTAATACCTGCTAATAAAGAAACAAATCTGAAATATGATGTTAGGTAGAGAGAATTACTGGCTTCTACTTTATACTCTATTTTTATTGTGAATAATTTTCATGTACATTGTTTTTTTTCCAACTAAAACAAAATTAAGGAGGAAAAAAATCCTTAAAAGCCCATTATCAAGGAAAGAAGCAGGCTAGAGCGAACAGTGAGGCTGACCTATTTATGGCAGAGGTTCTGAGCAGAGTCTGTAGTGCTGTGAATTGTACCGGTGAACTGTTCCCTGCAGGAAGTCTGGGAACCGTTCCCATCTGGGTCACCAACTGTTCTTTGCCAATGTTCTGTCTGTTGCTTAACAGAACAGGGCAGGTGCCTGTTGTAGCCACCCCCATGAGTAGCCAGGTGCCTGTGGGGACAGCCTTCCTCAGCTCCTGCTGCTGTGTGATGGAGAGGGCTCCTCTTCCTGGTAGAGACAGACTGGCCATAATCAGGAGGGGCAGCCTGCAGTACTGACCTGGAGCCATCTCTCCAGCCCCAGATCTGGATGGTTACTGTTTACCGCAATGTTCATGTGTCAAGAGCTAAAACAGTGCAAAAAGTGTTTAAAAGTGTATGCAGTTACTAGAGGTGCTGGTGTTGTCTTTGAGTGGAAACTTAGGGCAAAAACAGACAGACAGACAGACAAACAAATAAACAAGTCTCATTTCCAGGCAGATGTGTTATCTGTCAAGTGTGAAAGTACTGAAAGGCCTCTTTTAGCTCTAACTTTGTAGATACATGTACACTGAACAGATGGTCCTGTTTGCAGTTTCCAAAGACTGGGCGACAAAGACAGCAGCATCCCCAGAATTGGCCCAACTGAAGTTTCGTATCCTTCCTAGACCTGGCTCCTTCTTCCTTACCTTTAGGTTCAAACGCTGGTAGTCACTGGCCTTTGGTCTCCGAGTAACTTTGGATCTTTTTCCTTCGAGGGCAAAAGCAATAATCTGAAGAAAGGAAAAAGAAAATAGATTAACATTTGGCTCTGAAATGATGTACCTCAGTTCCTGAAACCAGAGGCAGTTACCTAGCTCCACAAAGAGACCTATTTAAATTTTATTCTCTCTCTCTTACTTTTCAGTGCTGGAGTTCAAACAAGGCATACGAGGCAAATGCTGAATCAAGCGTGGGATAATGCAATGTAGTAGAATGCTTGCTTAGCATGCACATAACCTGAGTTCAACCCCCAGCACAAAAGTAAGCAATGAAATTGTAAAGGTTTTAAAAGGGCTTCGTTACAAGAAAATCCTTTATACTATTTAATAGGGAACAGATGGAGGGTGTAGCCTGTGGGAATCTGTACGACTTAATTGTGGGGAACGAATCAAAGATCTGCCAGTCCCTTTGCCAGAGAGCTCTAGGTCCTTAAGGAAAAAAAGAGAGAGAGAGAGAGAGTCAAAAATCACTGACTGTTTCCTAGCTACAAATGCACACTTCGCTCCCACACATTGCCTCAACAGTTTCACTGATTTGCTGCTCTCATCACAAGCATGTGGATGTGGAATGAAGCCTGTGCCTTTGTACTAATGGTCCTTCTTCCCTTGTTCTTTATAGCATATGCCCGATGGCCATCACAAATTGAACTCTTCCATTAAATCAGGCTACTGAAATTATCTTCAAAATCTCACACAACCATTTTGTCATTTAGAGTTGTTTCTAAAGGACACGGGTGCCACTTTAACTACAAAGATGGGTACATTTATGCAATTTCTTTTGCTGGTTGCAGAAGAGCTGTCCTTGGGTTTTATGGCACTAGTATTAGAGACTACGTAATGAAAATATTCTTTCTGCCTACAGATGGAAGACAGTGGCAGCAGAAGTTAGAAACGGCAAACTGTCTCAAGCATGGGAAAAAAGGAAGAGGCCTCTATATCAAGAACTCGAGCCCACAGAGGCTGTGAAAGACCTGAGTTCCAAGTTATGGGAGGAGAATCTCAATTAGGTCAGGTCACGATTCATGTCCAACTTGGCACTTCACAGCAGAACTCTTGGGAAACAGGTCACATGATGAAAACACATGATTTTCAAAACTAGAGTTTCATAAGCCCTATTCGGGTCTGAAAAAAACTGAAGTTGATCTTAACACTCTCTGAGCCCACAAGCAAAGGAATGACAGATAGCAGTCCATGACCAAGCTCTCGGGGTTAGGGAAATCCCAGTCTCCTCTTACCTTCCGCTTGTTGTGGTAAGCAATATAGAGGACAGCAATAAGAACAGCTGCGGTCACCAGATAGGCAAAGAAGTGGCTGCTCTCTGCACTGGTGCTTGCAGAATTGTCCTTATAAGAGCTATCTTTCTCGTCATTCACAGACTCTATAAGCGGCCCCTCTCGGTTCTCACTGGAGGAAGGGCCCAACACCTTTGCACTGTCTTCTTCAAGTGGTGAGCCCTCTTCTGGCTCTATGTCACTCTCTTCCTTGCCTTCCACAGCTTCAGTAGGCTCCGAATACTTCTCTCCTCCCTCTGGCTTTAAAGAAAAGTCAGAGTCCCCTGCTGGTCTCTCCCCAGATTCAGTTTTGGAAGTAGGTGTAGATTTCTGTCCTTTTTCAGCTAGCTTGGTTTTGTCAATCTTGGGGGTCTCCTCATCTGAGGAGGGTTTGGAGACGGGCTCGTTGGAATCAACTTTTGTGGGTTTGTCCGGATCAACTTTTGTGGGCTTTTCCGAAACATCTTTTGTGGGCTTTTCCGGATCTTTTGTGGGCTTGTCCGGATCAACTTTTGTGGGCTTTTCCGGATCAACTTTTGTGGGCTTTTCCGGATCACCTTTTGTGGGCTTTTCCAGATCACCTTTTGTGGGCTTTCCAGAATCATCTTTTGTGGGCTTCTGCTCAGATTCCTCCTGTTTGGGGTCGGCTGGCGGGGGCTGTTGTGCGGACCCCGTTGACTTCGTATTTTCTGTCTCGGGCTGAGTTTGGGGGGGATCGGTTGCGGCGACCTGCTGTCCAGATACCGCCGAACTGGAAACTGCAGCCGTAGTCCGCTCCACCGGCTTCTCCGTCGGGTCTACGTTAGCGGATTGCTGTTGCCTCTGCTCCGTCGGCCTGCCAGGCTCTACCTCCACAGGAGGCAGGGGCTTAGTCTTTTCTTTGGAAGACTGAATCGGAGACTTATCTTTTCTTGAGGTGCTGTCTGAATCAGGAACAGGCAACAGAAAAAACAGTGAGTCCTCGGAAGAAAAGGCCGGGAGAAGAGAAGGGGGCTTGACTTCTCAGAGCGGGAAGAGCCCAGCGGCGATGGCCGAGGGAGAAGGGAGGAGATGGCCAAAGGGGTCGGGTCAAGCAAGGAAGCCGCCAGCTCCGGGGACGAGCCGCCGAGGTGAGGACTGGGGAACCTAAGGGACAGAGTGGGATGGGGGGGGGTCTTACCCGCCACTGCGACACTTAGCAGGAGCAACGCAACCAGGAGCCTCATCCTGTAGTCTCCGCTTCCGCCCTCACTGCCGACGTGAGAGCGGCGCAAGGGATTTGGAGCGCGTGGCCCCTCCCTTTCCGGCGGGCTGTTCCTCTTCCGGCGCAGCCCCGCCCCGGGGGCGGGTCATCGGGTCCTGGCTGTCAGCGGCCATGTGTTCCGTTAGTAACGGACAGCGTTCCAAGTCCCGCCGCCCTCTTTTTCTCAGCACTCTGACGAGCTCTGCAATCTCTTTCCTCTAAACTTGTCCTCGCGCTTTGGAAATTGTTCTGACCGGCAGCTGCTGCGTCGCCTCTCGCGGCTCATGTTGTGGGATCCGAGGACGGGAGCCGCGGAGGCCGCTTCGCTGCGTCGTCGGCCCGTGTTTCTGTCTTCTCTATTGCTGGTGAAGCTTTTCTCACTCCACACAAAATGTACCCTGTTCTGGTCTTTCCCGTCTAGAAACAAAAATCATCACTTCGTTCCTGGTCGTAATCCTTTTCTTGACGGTCTCTAGGGCCCTTTGAATTTACCACAGATTTTTTTTTTTCTAAATTTTTACGTATTTGAGACTGTATTGCTCTGTGTACAGGCTAGCCTCAAGCTCGTGCCTCCTGAGTGTTTAGAATTACATGTGTCTCAACACAACCCACTCGGGTTATTTAAGACATAGGATATCAAATTTTTATTTTAATTTGTATGAACCACCTAGGCATGGGTGCCCTTGGAGACTAGACGAAAATGTCGTATCCCCTAGAACTAGAGCTACAAGCGGTTTAGAACCATCAACATGGGTGCTGGGAACTGAACTCTAGTCCTGTGGGAGAACAGCACATACCCCTAACTGCTGAACCATCTCTCTAATGCAGAATCTAAAATCTCCTGTTGCCCAGATAGAAAAACGACCTTTCTAATCTTACTACTGAATTAAAGGCTTGTATTTCTCAAACCCAGTTTACGTGGTAATATGATTTTGTGCACACTAGACAAGAACTCTGCCTCACCTTAGCAACTTTTGTTGTTTTTCATGATGGTTTCTTTGTGTAGCCCTGGCTATCCTGGAACTCACTCGTAGACCAGGCTGACCTTGAACTCAAATATGCCTGCCTCTGCCAGAGCCAGAGTGCTGAGATTAAAGGTGTGTACCACCACCGCTATGTGTGTGTGTGTGTGTGTGTGTGTGTACATATAAAATTCTTTTAGAGAAGCCTGGCAGTGTGGCATGTCTTCTAGCACCCAGGAGGCAGAGGCACAGGGATCTCTGAGTTCGAGGCCAGCCTGGTTTAGTTTCAGGATAACCATGACTACACTGAAAAACCCTGTCTTAAAAGAAAATGGGGGGGGGGGAGCTAGAGAGCTAGAGAGATGGCTAAGTGGTTAAAAACTGCTAACTGCTCCTCCAGAGGACCTGAGTTCCATTCTCAGCAGCAACAAGAGAGCTAACAAAGATATGTAACTCCGGTTTCAGATCGTCCTCTTTTGGCCTCTACAGACATTGTATGCATATGGTGTACAGACATACATGTAAATTTTTTTAATTCTTGCTGTCTGCCCATCTATGGGTTGCTGTTTACATTCAGTTCTTGTGTCATCTGAGGTAGTGCTGGGTTGTTGAAACAGGTTGCTTGGGATCGTTTATGAACATTTGCCAGGTTAGGTGTTTTGTAAACAACGATTTAACAAATAGTAGGACCTAGCTCAAACTAAAAGTTCCAACAACCATGTTCGTTTTAACTTTTTGTTGTTTGGAGACAGACAGTCACAGCAGGCCTGGAACTCACTCGAAAGACCTTGAGTTGCACCAGTTGGCACCAATCTTCCTTCCTCTGCCTTAGAAGTGCTGCGATTACAGTTGTGTGCCATCATGCCCGGTTCCATGGTCCTTAATACCCCAGGGGTTTAAGACAGAGGCTAAAGTAAAATTGTTACATTATTGTTTTATGTGTATGCGTATTTTGTCTCCATTTGTGCTTATTCATCACGTGCCTGTCCGGGACCCAAGGAAGCCAGAACAGGGCATTGGATCCTTTGGAACTGGAGTTAAGAGACAGTTATGAACTACCATATGGGTGCTGGATATTGACCCTGGGTCCTCTGGAAGAGCAGCCAGAGCCCTTAACCTCTGAGCCAGCTCTCTAGTCTCAGAGGCAAAGAACCTTTTGAATTACCAGAATTTGGAGGCCAGTCTGAAGAACAAAGTAACACTTAGTCTCAAAAGTAGACGGTCATGATGGGGCACACCTTTCGTCTCAGCACTCAGGGGGCAGAGACAGGTGGATCTCTGTGAGTTCAAGACCATACTGTTCCACAGAGTGCATTCCAGGACAGCCAGGGCTACACAGAGAAACCCAGTCTTGAAAAAACAAACAAACAAAAAAGTACATAAATAAGTAAGACTTTAATTTCATAAAGCTTGCAATCTGATGAGGCCCATAAATATCATATAGATGTTTGTCCATGTTGGCTGTAATGGTTAATTTTTATTGTCAATCCGATGGACTTTAGAATCGCCATGGAAAGAAATCTCTGAGCATGCCCGTGAGAGGTTATCTAGGTTAGGTTAACTGAGGTGGGAAGGCCCACCCTGGATGTGGACATTAGTATCTCCTGGGCTGGAGTCCTGAACTGAATAAAATGGAAACCACACTGAGCACAATATAGAACTTTAGCGTCTCTCTGCTTCCTGACTGTGGATTCAGTGTGGCCAGCCACCTCCTTCTCTTGCTGCTGGGATTTCACTGCCACGATGCACTGTGTATTTCTGGGAACTATAAACCGAATTCAACCTCTAGATTACTTTATCAAGTAGTTTACAATGACATCCAGACAAATAACTGATTGAGTGCACACCAAGAACTGCCAAGCAAAACTATGAGAAGTGGGTATCAGCTGAGAATGAACGGTGGGACTGGGGACTGAAGGGTATAGATATTCCTGGCTAATGAAAGGGGAGAGGGGATGCCAGCACATGCAGGCAGTGGGGAGCCTAAAGAGCAGGTTTGCTGGGTAACAAGGAACGTAGAGAAGGAGTCTGGAAGAGAGCCAGGCCAAGAAACAAACGATCCGGGAGTGGCCCAGGACAAAAGTCCTTATGCAATAGAAAAATCTGTCAGCCAACTCTGGTTGAACAGTAAACTGGCCCATTCCAGCCAAAGAGGACTCACTCTGTGAGAGACCTGAACGTAATATGATAGGACAGGTAGTCCTGGATAGCTGAAAGTTTTCAAAATTTCCAAATAGTACATGGCACGAGCACAGTCTCAGAAGCAAGCACTTTTTCTGTTATTTGAATAAAAAATCCCTTTAATGAACTCCTTGCCACTTCTCCCCTCCTTTCCCGTCTCCCCTCTTCTTACATTACTGAAGAGAGAATAAAAAAGTCACAGAGGTGTGAGGAGTCTACCAGATTATTACAGGGACTGGACTATTCCAGTGGTAAAGTGCTGCTTGCCTGGCGTGTGAGAGGCCCTGGGTACAGTCTCCAGAGCTATAAAAAAAAAATCTTTAGAATGTTGACTCTGCCTTGCCTAGAGGAAGTGAACTGGTAAATGGATCTTTTTCTAAAAGAAACTTCTGTCTGCCTGCTTAAAGATAAATGTTTGACTAACATTTAAGGATATTGGCTTAGTGAGGGTGTGGGTGGGTGGGGATGGCAGTGGCAAATGATTAAACCTGACCTGGTATCCATGTTACTAGGCAGGGGAGGAAAATCGTTCTGCTCCCTCAGAGCTCTCAGGCGTTTGTGTTTTATCTAAACAGAGGCGAGGTATAGTCAGAGTGGAGAGTATGTGCCCATTACTCTGCTTGTGTCGGAAAGAGCTGGCTAGGGCAGTAGGGAAAAGGAGACTGTTGCAGTGTCCCAGGTGGTGCACAGGCTCAGCGAGAATGATGGGAGTAGTCAGAGTGGAGAGGAAACTGGGGAGCTGTACCAGCCTGCTTCCCAGAAGGACTGGAAAGGAAGCAGGAGTTCTCTGTGAATTCGAGGCCAGCTTGGTCTACAGAGAGAGTTCCCGGACAGGCTCCAAAAGCTACAGAGAGACTCTGTCTTGGAAAAAACTAACTAACTAACTAAATAAATAAATAAATAAATAAAATACTGAGACAAATACTCAGAAAGATTCAACAGTTTGTTCAAGGTTAGGTTTTTTTTTTTTAAATCAAACTTCTGATAACAGGGAGCTATTTTCTTTTTCATTCTCCTTCCTTTCTTCCCCCTCTCCCCCAGTTTTTCCTCTCATCTCACTGTGCCACCCACACTTCTCTCAAACTCCTGGGTCCAGGTGACCCTCCACCTCAGCTTCCTGAGTAGCAGCAACTACAGTGAGCAGCCAGCACTAGTATTAACCCGACTTTCTCTTTTACATTTTTGTTAACATACAAAGAATTAAGTTACATTGTGGCATTTTCAAACAATTTATTTTAGTTGGTTTTCTTTCTCCCCATTTTCCCCAATCCTGAGAATTCATAATGTGTTAAATTGATAGAAGAAAAAGCGTTCTTGAGTTCCTGAATACGTGTGCGTGCATGCTTATTTGCATGTGTGTGTGTGTGTGTGTGTGTGTGTGTGTGTGTGTGTGTAGGCCAGAGGACAACCTCTGGTGTCATTCCTCTGGCACCATCTGCCTTTTACAAGGTCTTGCACTGACACAGAAATGACTGAGTATGCTAGGCTTGTTGGCCAGTAAGCTTTGGGGATCTACCTGTCTGCCCCTCCCCAGCAGTCAGGTTTGCAGTCGGGTTTCAAACACAAATCAACTTCTTGGGTTTTTTAAATTTTTTTAAAATTTATTTGTTTTCATTTTATTTACGTTGGTGTTTTCCCATGTGTGTCAGGTCCCTTGCAACTGGAGTTACAGACAGTTGTGAGCTGCCATGTGGGTGCTGGGAGTTGAACCTGGGTCCTCTGGAAGAGCAGTCAGTGTTCTTAACCACTGAGCCATCTCTCCAGCCCCCACACCCAACTTTTTAACATGGGTTCTGAGGATGCAATTTCATTCCTGCTTATAAGGTAAGCACTTTACCGATTGCACAGTCTCCCTCTTGTTCTTTCTGTCATCTATCTATCTACTGAAGCTTTTATATATATGTCTATCCACT